GAAGAAGAAGAAGAAGAAGAAGAAGAATAATAGTTTATGGTTCAGCATAAACTAAAAGGGAGAGAGAGAGAGTCACTCCATCTTGTTTTGAACTACCCCTTATCAGCTATTTCAAGATACATAAGCCAATGACAGCTGTATTAATATTTTATCCTCTTCCTCTGTGATTATCTTTTAAAATGAGATTTTTTAAAAAACCAGGGCCAGGAAAATTTACTTCTGAAAACAAATTCATTTCTTCTGCAGAACAGAATTGGGGGTCACTTCCTTCTTCCTTGTGCAGACAAGCCTTGAAATCTCTTAAACCATTTACGTGGTTCCTTAAGCATTCATGCAAACATACAAGTTAGCTACAAAGCAGGCAGTACTTCCCAATTATTTCCTTTACTCACTGTTGCTTCAGATAAATTGAAAAGGATTCCCCTTCTATGTTCATATCAAATGACATCCTCTCCTGAAACAGCCAAAGGGTTTGTTATGTTTATTTATTTATTTTATATTTTATTTATTTATATTTGGATTTGTATCCCGCCCTTCTCCCGTAGGACTCAGGGCGGCTGACAATCAATTAAAAACATAAATAACAGTACAATTTAAAATTTAATTAAAAAGAATATTTAAATATTTGTCAAATTTAAAATATAATTAAAACCCCTCTAAAAATTACCCTAGGCCAGTCCTGCAAGCTGGAACAGCCAAGTCTTATTGCTGTTGTTTTATTCATATTGCAAAAATCCAAGCAGCACAAACCATTCAGGTCTATAAAGAATGTACAGCCGAAAGTAAATTTTACCGCTGGCTGGAAATGATTTTCAGCTGAATGCAGACCGTCCCATCACAGGCTTTTGCTGTGATGCAAAAGGTTTTATCAAGAATAGAGCTGCTTCTTCACTTTACCAAAGAGAATGTTATTTCTTGCAGAGAACAAACCTGCCCATCACTAACAAGACTGCCCTTCTCGTATCAAAGACCATTTTGAAGAGGATAGACTACTTACAACAGACTGGGGTTGTTTGCAGAGGTAATGATGTATTGTGAATACTGTACATCCTACTGTTCACTCTGTATTATTTTTGTATCATTTTGATATGGTCGGAGAACTAGTCAATATGTATTGTCATTACTGTTATTGAGTACTGTGCTCTGAACACACAATAGCTTCGAGTCATCTTCAAAAAGAGACCCACAAAAAGTCAATTGCATTAGTCAAGTAAACTTTTCACGAAGGCAGTTGTGAGAGGATGGCCTAGATCTGGGATGTCCAACCTCAGCAATTTGAAGACTTGTAGACTGCAACTCCCAGTATTCCTCAGTCCGCTGTTTCCGAGGCTTGCAAGGTTGGACACTCCTGATTAGGTTAAAAGGTGAGTTTAGCAACACTGACAACAGACTAGGCAAAAAGCAAGAAATACCTTATTTCCAGTGGCGTGAGCTGGGTTCCTCTGAGGAACAATCACCTGCAGAAATGACCGCTGAGACCCTAGGCAGGAGAAAGACTCTCATAATCATGTACAGGTAGTTCTTGACTTACGGCTACAATTGAGCCCAAAATTTCCATTGCTAATCAAGCAAAATTTGGCTACAATTGAGCCCAAAATTTCCACTGCTAATCAAGCAAAATTTCCATAGCTAATCAATGCAGGTCTGACCAGCGGTTAGAGGATGGGGTCAGTTACAGTGGGGATAAGCGGACGGGCTCAGTTACAGAGGCGATGGGGACATTGATCCTCTATCTTGGGGATAGATTATCAAGGAGAAACATCTGTCTATGCCAGTGGTGGCGAACCTATGGCACGGGTGCCAGAGGTGGCACTCGTGCCATCGCCCCCAGTCCTAGCCCTTCAGCTGGGTTTTATAAAACCTTTTCACTTTAGGCCTCCGCTGCCGTGTGCAAAAAAAAAAGGTTCAATCAATCAGTCAATTTCAACTTCTCCTGGGAAAAAAAAGATCTTGCAAAGTTGGAATTGATGGATTGAACTTTTTAGTCCCACCCAGTCTGCCGTTACCACCGCAGCCACGCCCACCCAATTGGCCACACCCAGCCAATGGGCCACACCCACCCGGCACCCGACGATGCATAAGTGGGTTTTGGGTTGCAGTTTGGGCACTCGGGTCTCTAAAAGGTTTGCCATCACTGGTCTATGCGGTCCTAGGAGTCAACGTTGCCTTGATGGCCCATAATCCCTTACATCAATGTTCAACCTACATAACATTGCCAAGAGCATTGTTATTATACAACACCCGTTTTTGGAGTTTCTTTGCCATGGGTTAAATTCCATTTCTTTATATGGTTAATTGCACTGTGGACACTTTGCATTTGCCGCCACCACCACCGAGTCACATGATTGGCAGGGGGGGAAGCAAAGCAATAATATATGGAGGAAGAGGAGGAGGGTGGTGTTTTTGTCCTATCTGTTCAAGCTTGCTGGAAGCCTCACCTCAAGGGTGGCATGACTGTCCCAATAAGACAGGGGTAGGCAACCTTGGCTCTTTTATGACTTGTGGACTTCAACTCCCAGAATTCCTGAGCCAGCCAAGCTGGCTCAGGAATTCTGGGAGTTGAAGTCCACAAGTCATAAAAGAGCCAAGGTTGCCTACCCCTGCGAAGAAGATGATGACCCCCCCACCACAATAAGCCCTGGTTGTTACTAGGGTCCCAAAGGAGCCCATCAGCCCACCGGGGCTCTTCCGCGGCGCCAAAGGCTGCCAGCGCCCCGCGCTCGGGGCGCGCCATCCCGGGGCCCGCAGCGGACTCACCCTGCGGGGCCACGAAGGAGACGGCGAGCAGGGCCAAGGGCAGCGCTAGCAGGGCCATCGCGGGCGGCCGGACAGGCGGCGCGCCGGCGGCCACAGGCGACCGCTAACGGGCGCGGAGGAATGAGAACGGCGCGGCGCTTCCACGCGCCCGAACCCCGCGGTAGCCGCCGGACGCTTCTGTCCGCGCCTGGACGTTCGACGGCCGGCGCGTTCTTGCTGCTCCGCGTGGGAAGAGGCATCCGGTAAGGGAAGGCGCGCTCGGGATCCAGAAATGATGATGATGATAGTAGTAGTAACAGCAGCAGCAGCAGCAGCAGCAGCAGCAGCAACAACAACAACAACAACAACAACAACAATAACAATAACAATAACAATAACAATAATAATAATAATAATAATAATAATAATAATAATAATAATAATAATAATAATAATAATAAAGTTGGAAGGGACCTTGGAGGTCATCTAGTCCAACCCCCTGCTCAGGCAGGAAACCCTACACCATTTCGGACAAATGGCCGTCCAGCTTCTTCTTAAAGACTTCCAGTGTTGGAGCATTCACCGCTTCTGGAGGCAGGTTGTTAATAATAATAATAAAGTTGGAAGGGACCTTGGAGGTCATCTAGTCCAACCCCCTGCTCAGGCAGGAAACCCTACACCATTTCGGACAAATGGCAGTCCAGTCTCTTCTTAAAGACTTCCAGTGTTGGAGCATTCACCGCTTCTGGAGGCAGGTTGTTCCATTGATTAATTGTTCTCACTGTCAGGAAGTTTCTCCTTAGTTCTAGGTTGCTTCTCTCCTTGATAGGTTTCCATCCGTTGCTTCTTATCCTGCCTTCAGGCGCTTTGGAGAATAGCTTGACTCCCTCTTCTTTGGGGCAGCCCCTGAGATATTGGAAGACTGCTATCATGTCCCCCCTCATCCTTCTCTTCGTTAAACTAGACATACCCAATTCCAGCAGCCGTTCCTTATATGCTTTAGCCTCCAGTCCCCTAATCATCTTTGTTGCTCTTCTCTGCACTCTTTCTAGAGTCTCAACATCTTTCTTACATCGTGGCAACCAAAACTGGATGCAGTATTCCAAGTGTGGCCTTACTAAGGCATTGTAAAGTATTAATACTTCACGTGATCTTGATTCTATCCCTCTGTTAATGCAGCCTAGCACTGTGTTGGCCTTTTTGGCACCTGCAGCACTGATGATGATGATGATGATGATGATGATGGAGACTTCTTCGCTCTGCCCTGGGGTCCAGAGCCCAGGAGGATCGCTCCACATGCACTGGAGTGGCTTTCAGTGTGGAATGAGCACCTTGGGCAGATAGAAAACCAATGGTGGGATCCCAGCACCCAGATGCCACTGACCCTCTGTGAACATGTCAGACTACATACCCCATCATTCCCAAACCCTGAGGGAAGCGCTATTGCTCCAGACCTGGTGAACTAGGAGCTTTGGAGTCCTGCTCAAGCTGCTTAAAGGCAAGGAGCTCCATCTTCCTGGAGCCACTGGGGGTTATGTTGCATTGCACAATGCCAAAGGTCTGGGTTGTCCTTTTTTCTTGCAAACAGAAATCTCTTTTTAAACTTTGCAGCACTCCTGCACCGGCCCCGGGTCTCGCATGAGCTGTGAGGATCCAATTCGTTCATCTGCAGTATCACCACTGTCAGAAGAGCAAGGTGAGAAGAGAAACAAAATGGGGTATTTTTACTTGCTAGGCTGAAGATGTTTTTGGAAGCCCATTTTGCCTACTTTTGAATTATTGCACAGAAATTCAGGCCCTTGATCACGTGACCATGGGGATGCTTCCACTGTTAGAAGTGTTGAAAAGAGGCATAAGCCACTTTTTTCAGTGCCGTTGTGCTTTTGAACGGTCACTAAATGAAGTGTTGTAAGTCAAGGGCTACTTGTATTTTCAGGTCCTTTACTGATGCAAAAAGAGGATTGTGAGGCACACAGGATACTTACTTGGAGATAGCAAAAGGACAACTCTAACTGCAAAAAAAACCCACATGCAATAGGCTTGCAGACTCTTGGCACCGTGGCCTGTTAAGAGTTGATTAAAAAGTTGAGCCCCAAAATAATTGAGGTGTGTGTGTGACCCACATCCATACTAAAGTGGAACCTAGAAAGTCAATCCATTCGTGCTTTAAACAGTGATTTATTAGATGGCATGTGTACATCTATGTGCAATGATCTTGCTTTCTCTTTTCTTCCATGGAAAGCAGCGGTGTAATTTTCCTCCGTTCACATCAGGTCCGGTTTAGCTGAAATTTAAAGGAAGAGATAAGTCTTAGTTAAAGAACATTGCGAGAATTACCCATCCAACAACTGTTTGCTTTGTTGTTTTGAAAATAAGGAGAAGGGAAGAAAACACACAACCCTTTCTCAGGCTGATAAATAAAAGCTCCCCCCCCTTAGATACCAATTCTATCAGAGGGGACGGAGAAGGTCCAGGAACATTTGCCATCCAAGCATCTGGATTTGGCAGCCCTTCATTTCTGTCTATTTAGAATTAAAATGGAACAGGCTTTGCCTAGAGCAGCTGCTGCTCTTACGAAATAAACTCACCTTTTCCAAAAGCAAAATGTGCTTCTAGATTGCAGGTTGCCCAGATCAGCTTTCTAGAGGCTTACCTTGTTTTTTCCGATGTGCTACTCTCTTCTGATCTAGAATAAGACCTAGAAAGCAACAGTAGTTAAGATGATTTAAGAGAGTTTTACACCATTGGTGTAGTTCAGGGGTAGGTAACCTTGGCTCTTTTATGACTCGTGGACTTCAACTCCCAGAATTCCTGAGCCAGCATGGCTCAGCTTGGAAACTTCTCCCTTTCCCCTCAGCACGGCTGGCTCAGGAATTCTGGGAGTTGAAGTCCATGAGTCATGAAGGGATCATAGTTTCCCCCATGCTGGCTCAGGAATTCTGGGAGCTGAAGTCCACACATCTTCAAGCGGCCAAGGTTGAGAAACACTGCACTAGTCCAGGGGTAGGCAACCTTGGCTCTTTATGACTCGTGGACTTCAACTCCCAGAATTCTTGAGCCAGCATGGGGGAACTATGGCCCCTTCATGACTGGTGGACTTCAACTCCCAGAATTCCTCACCCAGCATCGCTCAGCTTGGAAACCTCTCCCTTTCCCCTCAGCAAGGCTGGCTCAGGAATTCTGGGAGTTGAAGTCCACGAGTCATAAAAGAGCCAAGGTTGCCTACCCCTGCACTACACCAATCTGGTAGTAAATACTAAAAGCTCTACATTAGATTGGGCCACATAGAATGCAGGGAAGGGAGCAGAAGGACGTCTGTGGATGAAAAAAACTGTTAAGTTCAGTTCTGGGGCTAAAAATCCATTCCTGGGCTGAATATATCCTCAGAAACATTATTCTGTAATTCTAAACATCGGTCTGGCTGCTCAGATGCCATTTCTGGTTATTCTACTTCATCAGTCTTTGGGATTTAGCCCAAGTCGGTAGAAATATTGGCCCAAAAAAAATCTGATAATTAAAAACACACGTATGCCAGATTTGTTACGCAGTTCCATTCAGCTAAAGAAAGAGCAGGACATGATTTCAATGCACCTGAAGTTTCTTTTGCATTTTTAACCTATTGTACAGCTTAAAATGCAATTGCTCAAAATGTGTAATTTAATCTTAACGCCGCAATGTAGATTTAGAAGAAAAGAAATACTTGTAAAAGTAATATATAAATTGCACGATATTGGGGAAAACTGCGCCAAGCATAGCCACCCTTTTTATGTGCATTGTGGCTGCCATCTTAACTCTTTTGACCCTCCTAGCAGATGCCTCTGCCACCGGTACGTTACTTGGTTGCAAACCTCCCTTCTCCGCTTTGAGAA